TTGTTGCTTTGGAATATATGTTGACAAATTCAATTAAGTGCCTTTATGTTGTCACCATTGGAAGCCAAATACAACCCCAAGGGGAAGAAGGTTTGGTAGCCTTGTCCAGAAATCTGTCACACTACTTCAATAACATTTGATATAGGTCAGAATTCATCATACAGGGGGATCTTGTTCATTTACATAGGGTACACAACACGACTTAATTATATCTGGGGTTTCTAAACTCAGAAAGTGATCCTTTTGACACCTCTAAGCTCAAGGAAGTAAGCACTGTACATTGTGGTCAAATAATATCACTTAAGACTAAGAATTTGTCCTTAAAATATAACTCTGAGTTGGTCAAACAAACACCCTATTGAAAAATTTTGTGTTACCGGTAATTTTGACTTGACTAAACTGAAAAGTTGTTGACATGTTTGCAATTTCTTATGACTTTACCTTATATGGTAACACCAAATAAAGGCCTTGTGTCCAAAAAGAGACTAATTGTCCTACACAGTATCCATATATAGTGTGCTATGTCTCCTATATTGTAAAATGCAATGCCAAATTATCATAGAAAAACATTAAAGTTTCATAACAGGTACCAACCTTGTCTGTCAAAACTCCTTATATAATGAGAGCCTAGATACAGATATGCATGGCTAGTGTCCAGTGTTTCATTAGTATTCTAGGTCCTTTACTCATTAGGTACAAAGTATTAGCTATCTAGTGAGCTAGCCATAATTACTAACATATAAAAATAACCTTTGTTGGCTGTCAAAATTTGTTTGTCATTTGCCCACATCATTAAAGATACTGGATATCAGATTTAGCAGCATCAAAATTTAGAGAGATTCCTCTTGTTGGTAAATATGTAATTTCTGTCAAAAATCATACTACAAAATATTGTTTATTTTAAATTCAAGAATTAAAGTTTATCAAGAGAGCATCATTGATATGAAAGGCAGGCAGGTCAAGTAAAATTTAAGTCCACGATTTTATTACCGTTACAGAAACAAGTAGTTTAAATATTTGTCTAGAAAATCAATATCAATGTTAAAAGTACATGTACACCCTACAGCATTTATCAATTTTTTTGATAAACACAAGCTTGTCAATAACATGTATGATATCTTGACACACAGAAAAAATGATTTTCTCTATGCTGTTTCAATGAACAATGACTAGTGGGATTTATAGGTATGCTAATGAACAAGTGTTTTCAATAATTTTTTATAAAAATTATTTGTTTACTTGGTTATTGCCTAAACAATGGCTGGCATCATTTTGAGCCAAGTGTCTCCTTTGAGTAGCTAGTAGCTATCTCACTAAACATTATATGTTGTCCATGGACACATGACAGTACAAACCAGCCTGTTTCTCAGCTGCCTAAGAAACAAAAACTGTCAGAGGTACCGAGTGTCAAACAGCACACCTGGTTCTTCACCTGTGGTTGCTAAATCCAACACTCTACACTTAAATCATAACTAGGCATTAAAAAAAAGTAGCCATATCGTCTTTGGTTCCTCACTTTATTTTTGACATTGTTGATACTAAATGCATGTCTCTAAATGTTATCACCTTAATGGTGTTCAGTGAGGCAGCTCCCTACAACTACTAGGAGACCCAGACTCAAAATGACCCTAGCTATTCATGGAGCAATAGATCCAACAAAATCACCTGAATGTTCATCACTGAATTTTACTGTCATTTCTTATATACAACAAAGTACACATAAATGATGTATGACCAAATGGAGGCATTGGAACCTATTAATTTTACCAAAAAGCATTGAAATTATTTCCTTGACTTACGACTCTGAACCTACCCTGCTAACTTCTGAATCAAAATTCTTGATATAAGAGAATGAAATCTGTGTTTTGTGAATGTCTAAACTCTGAAGCATTGGTAAGTAACTGGGGCCTGTCAATCACTTTAGTCTTTACAACCAACTGAGGACTGCCATTATCTTGAGGTTTAATAAACCAATTTCAGTAACTTATGATGGTAAAATAATTTTACTTATTTTTAATACAAATAAAAAAAACAGAGCTGGGGAGAATTATCAAACGTCAGCTTAAATATGTTTAGACAATTCAATAAACACAATTTCCATTCCAAATGAAGGGAAAAGTAAAAATAAAAATTGAAGTAAAAACCTCTGGACAATAACTAACCTGTCAAGTGTGTTATTCAGTATGTAATTTAAGAACACTTTTACAATATGATAGTTGTGTTAATAAGAAAATTTTACAATGGCTTGTTCAGAATATAGCCTTAATTTACCACCTGAGCAGATTTTGCATCAAGGGAGGAAACTCCTATAGATAGAAATATCATAATTGAGACTGCTACAGATAATAACTGGAAGTTGCTTTCAAAGGAAGATGAATAACTTTTCATTATACAGAAACTTGAGATTTGCATATATAGAAGGACTTTACTCGTCTATGCAATGAATAAGCAGAGAATAGTAATGATCTGAAAATGATAGCTAAACTGAAGCAAATAAATAAAAAATGACTTTCAGAAAGCCTGTATCTCTCAACTTTATATTCAGCATGAAAACTAATAATTATGAATTTTCTTTATGTCACTTTCCAAGATCCTATAAACACCATTTTTTTTTTTTTTTTTTTTCCTTTTTCTTAATGCACTTGTGCATGTTGCCTGCCCAAAGTATATATGTGTACATGACTTTTTTTCCACGACATAAAATTGATAGATGTTTTTAAGCAAAAACAATATTTTTTATATATATCCAGGGTATATCTAATAGCATGTTATTGCTTAATGTTTCTTCAGGAACATCTTTCATATTCAAAAATAAAAATATAATGAATAATTTGGAGTTCTTAAGTGGGTATTTGTCGAAGTGAAAACATACCACATGTATGGGTAACATTGAGTGGGAATCTGAACTTTAATGCCACAAGAACTTGCAATACTCAGTCAAAAATGATTGGCTGATCAAGATTCTGAAAATGCAGGCAAGTAACAAATCATGAAGGAAATAGCTGCTGGCTTACAGATTGTTTTTTTTTTACCTCAAATTCACCACACTATCCAATCAAGCTTTGGGTAGCTGTCGTCAACAGTAGTACATGATTACACATTGATATACCATTTAATGCCAGTGAATTTTTTTTTCACGTTTTACAAAGTACAAGAATTTTTCCAAGTATATCAGAAAATCCCGCTATATTATTTATAAAGACATGGGCTGCTGTAATAATATGGGAGTAAAAATACCAATGCATAGGACATAGTATCATTAAAATCGAACAATAATAAAACACCTACCCGGACATGGCTAAAATAATGCAGTATGTTATGAACATGTGTATTTATTCAGATTGCCAATACTGTGTACTATTTCAGGATAGCCAAGTAAAGTTGCATATTAGGGTTTTTTTTATATCCAGTGCTTTTTGATATTGTATGGAATCTCTAAAAAATAAACTTTGAACAACTAGTTTGCTAAACAATTATTCTGACCTTCAAAATTTCCTTTCAAGATTTTATGTGAAAATTAAAAAAAATATTCAGTTCTGAATAATTCAAAAGAATTATTTGAAATTCATTTTGCTAAAAACTTGTTTAAACATTGTAAGATTTTAAGATATGAGTACATCCGACTCCTAATCCCTTTTGGGATTTTCCTCCTTTGGACTCATTTATATCGAACTTCTGACAATGTCCCTCGTCGGAGGGACATTAGTCAAACGTCCGATATGAAGGAGGAAATCCCGAAAGGGATTAATCAGGCTCCCCGTTTACCGGAGTTTTTTTTATTTATGTGATTGGAAACCCTTTCATTTGTCTTACATAGCTCCTTGTTTCAAACACGAAAATATATCCACTTCAACATGGACAGTTCCAAAGATTCTCGATTTAGCTGTGAGCATCAAATCTTTTACACGAGGTTGGAATGCTTACGAAATTACAGTGAAATGATGACTAAACCAATTGAGTGAAGCCATAAAAAGGCAGTTCAAAATGATAAATATAAGTGTATTTATCAAACTTTTTATCAAAATTCTTTAACTTTTAGGCAATCCCTATTTTCAGAGACGTATGTGTTATATATGTCTCTGCTATTTTTTTTATATTATATATGAAATTCTGTGGACCAATGCGAGTTTTTAACTAGAGGCTAAAGTGCGACATATTTTTCTAAATCACTTTTTTTATAACCTGTCATTATGTTTACTGCATAGAAAATCATAATATTCTAAACAGAGGGGTCCCAGGATTGGTGATTGGTACTAGCAATGTCTTAGTTTCTAGTTCATATCGTAGCGATTCGGGAACTTCTCTACTTTCAGGTAGCAGTAAACAGTTAATTTGCATTTTTCCTGAAATTATTTGTCATGTTTGAGATATACAGGTATAGCAGATTGGTTATGGAAAATACATCATTACATGTATATATATTTATAAACTATATAACAATTACATTAACAGTAGAGAGATGAAATTTGTGTAAAAAAAAAATTCCTCTGATTTCTGACATTTGATTGCCATGGTTACCTACTGAAAAAATGCTAAAAATGCAAAAATACTGCTAATTCCAACCCAACACTACAACTTTCTGGGAGAAATTTAATTCTAAACACCTATCTTACAATCAACAACACTGTCATGGTAACAAAGTACTTACATTTCAGCAAATTCCAACTCGGAAATTCTTCATAACATGACCACATGTGAACACTATGAAAATTTCACTTCCTGTAAAGCTAGTTTTTGGTGCGTAGACACAGATTCGAGACTGCCCAAATAGTAATCTCCAACACAAAGCTAAAATATTATCCTGAAAAAAATGAAACCCCACATTGTCCACTTTAAGATGACAGAACCAATTTTAGCAAGGATTTTTTTTTTCATTTTCACCCATGGCCACACCGAGATACTGTGTACTGCTACCTCACTGTTCGTCAGTCACAACTACTTCCGGTCGAAAAGTACGAAACTATCGCCTAAAAGTCATGTGACATGACAGGAAGTAGGAAGTCCATCGTGCCCACAAGGAAGAAGACAGTCAGGAAGATAACAAACACTTGGGACGAATATTCAAAGACAAGTTGGATTATTTAACTGTAAGTCTTGAACGAAAATAGAAGTAGCATTATAATGCACTTCCGCAATAAACACAACTAGCGTTCGTTTTAAATCAGCATTTAGTTTAACAGCCCATTCAATGATATGATGATGATTCATGTCGAGGTTTGTTAAGCGGTAAAAAAGAAGAGTCTTGAAGAGTGTAAAAGTATAGAGTACGTAAAACAGTGGCATGATAGAATTATCCTTGTCCAAATAAAGATATGATAACATTGACATATTTTGAATCTGGATCAGATAATACAGCAATAAATCGAAGAAAACATCTGGAGAACCCGCCATATCAAAGTTACTGTAGGACATAGTAAGTTTAGATAACATGAGTCAGACAGTGCCTGGAAAGAGTGAAGCTTTATTTGGCCACATTTATCAAGAAAGTATCAAGAAAAATAAAATAAGGTATCCAAATATGTTGGCTGATGGGCAATGGCTAGCAGTAGTACTTCAAGGAATGAAAATATGACACACTAAATGAAGTGGTCTATCCCACAATTATTGTGATGTTGACGTTTTAAGGGCTTGTGTTTATGTTATAGAGTCATGATATTAGTTGGCCTCATATGCTGGATAGTTACGAGAAATAAAGAAATTTTAATTGGTGCCAATTTCATTTATGTATAATCGTCTTAATGTTAAAGGGATATTCTGCCCAAGTAAGGATTTCTTGAGATGTTTTTTGAGAAAATTGTACCAAAGCATTTACTTACATTCATATGGAAATTGTGTGACTTTATTTCCCAAAAAACTCAACTTTCGCAATATATTTGAGGAAATTTCATTTAGCTCTTGCTAGATCTGTTTACAAATGTTCACACTGCCCTGATGATGTCACAACAGGTTTGCACCTGTGTAATACATTGTAAAGAAATGGAAATGGTGACTCCTATGGAGACACCTTAAGGGCAAAACAAAATGGTTTCTATGTCAGAGAAAAAATTTGAGAAAGTCGAAATAGGCAAGACAAAACACATACATCACAATTGGCAAAAAGCACAAGAGGTGGCTACAGTTTATGGAAGAGAACAGCCAGTGCAAAACAAGCGAAGATGCAACACAGATGATGTTGGACAATTGATCGTCTGATATAGTTTTTTTTTTCAAAACAATCATGTCATAAACATGCTATATTTACACATTCTCTTTTTATACTGGTAAGAGGGTGTTTCCACCAATTTCGTAAGGAAAACAAATTCAGGAAAGCAGAAACATTGTCAAGAATTTTTCATTAACATTAGCTTTGGATGGTACATAGTACCTATGCTCCATGCCTTTCCTCTTACAGAATATTTTTTCTCTGTTGTATCAGGTTGTGTTCATAGTCAGGTGCCAAAGGATGGCACCCAAGAGCTTTGCTCTTATAGTTTTGCATCTTTGAATGAGCAACATTTTCTATATTGACCATAGATTTCTGGTGTAGAGAATGCTCATAATGAAGGAACCCAGGCATGTGTTTTCAGAGCAGTTCACTATAGCACTGATTAAACTAGATCAAGGTTTATAACTGTCAATGTTATATTATACAAGAGGAAATTGGGCAACATGCAAGTTATCTTATTACCCTGATCTTAAAATCAATGAATTTTTTACTTGGATATTTGAGTCCTGGACTCATGCTTTTCCTGTGGGACTCACTCAGATTTTGAGAGCACACTCTATCTCATAATTTTAAAATTTGTGGTTTTTATTCAACTAAAAAAATTAATGAAAATGTCTGAGTATATGCATTATTTTTAGTAGGTTGATAAAAATATGTAAAATCAGATCAGATCAGCTTGCAAAGTTAGATACCTGACAAATTATAAAAAGTGAAGTAAGCCTCTGGTCAATGCCAATAACATAAATAGATATTGTTCAACTTGATATTTGGTATCTTTTAAATGATTTTTATGTTAAACAATTCTTAAGTTTGTTCTTTATCATGATGTACATCATGAAGAAGAAGCTATATAAGTCTGGAGAAAAGAACGGCTGCTTATGTATTGGTAGAAGTTAATATTGATGAATCGGTATAGAGATTATGTTTCATTGCTGTTTACAAAGCTTACATATAAATCTTACAATAATTTGATATACATGATAAATAGTGATAGCCTGGATACAATGAAATCATCGAACTGTAAAGGGAAATAGTGTTGCTCTTTGAATATACACATGCTAACTTTCCATGTTCTATATTGATCATGTGTTTACTGAAGTGCAGCTTGAAGTTGTATCATCTGGCAGATCTAAATGTATCAATATAAATTGTATAAGTGACATGGTAACACAATTTCTTACGGTGGTCATGCATTTACAACCCACAACCAGCAGTTTTTACAGTTGATGTTAATAGTGAATACCTGAAGTGATCATTGTGATACATATACCCCTTTCATAAGCAAGGCCTGTGTGAATCTCTTGCATATTGATCTCATTGTTATCGAAAAAGTTAGGTGTTCAAACTATCTATCAATCCAAACTGGCCTTAGGTTACTGTGATCTATCGACCTCCACCGTAAGAAGTGTTGATGTCATTGGGACCAAATGCCCAGTTATGTTCCAGTAATGCACCATTAACAGTTCTGTCATGATTTAATTTCAGCTAAAACTGTGAGAGGTAAGTTAAAAACATCTTTCATCGTGTTTTTTTTATTGCTTGTCATTAAAAGAGTGTATTTGAAGTTTTGTTTTATGCTCCGTACATCTGATAGCAAAATCTCTTATAATAAAAGATCATTTTGAAGCACTCCCATTCATTGTCAACAATCAAGATCTATTTGAAATGTTTGATTTCTATCTTATGATTTTACAGTGACATACAAAATAGACACGACATGTGGAAGTCAGGTGTAGGACACAACATCAAATCAAATGCCCCACCTGCAGATGAAGATGATGAGTGGGAGACTGATCCAGATTTTGTTGTAAGTTCAAGTGAAGAGATATTTGTAAGATCATTATGTAGTGAAGAGATAACATATTTATCTGAACTTTTTTGTAAGTTCTTGTGCAGAGATTGTAAAGGACACTTGTCATTGTAAAGAAATTAGATTAGATTTATCCTAGTACAATCTCATCAAAAGACATGATTAAATAAGATAGCTCTAATTATGGGATTCACCTGCACACTTTTTGTAATTTCTTTGAAAATGAAAGAAACTTCATTCAAAGTTCATATTAAATTCTTTAACATTATTTTCAGAATGATGTGAGTGAGGTTGACCAGAGATGGGGGGCCAAGACAATAGAAGGATCAGGTCACCAAGCCTCTATCAGGTATATAGATCTAAGCATTATATATTTTGTAACATTCCCCCCAAAAATATAATAGGTTATATAAATCATTTTGTTGGCCTCGATTGAAGTGTGAGAGGTCTTAATGTGGGAGGAAACCGGAGTACTCATGGAAAACCTATGTGGCTAAGCAGGTGACTCTATCCCTTATCATGTCCTATAAAGGATTCAAACCCAGGTCACCTATGTGAAAGGCAAGTTTGCTACTATATGTTATCAAATATTTCATGATTGAAAACCACTTTTTACATAATTTTTTGTCATATAGGTAAAGATGTACATTGTTGTAGATGAAATTTTAATGAATAAATCTCCCACTTCACCTCATGTCTGATGGTTCACCTGTGATAGTAACAAAAAAGGGAGATTTCAATGGCAAGTAGTTATATGACTTCAGTAATTGTTAATATCAAACATTAGTGATCAAAACCTCTAAATGAACAATTGCGAAATGTACAAACACTCTCATTTATTTTCAAATATTTAGAATGGAAGATCTAAGGAAAAATGTTGCCATTGATGATAAAAACATCAAAAAAGAAGAGTTTGAAAAAGGACCCAAGTCATCATATGGATATGGTGGCAAGTTTGGTGTACAGAAAGATCGTATGGACAAGGTAGGGTGTAACATCAGTTGTCCTAAAAGTACACAAGAATTGATGACACGTGAAAGTATACACGAGAACTGATGATACATTTGAAGAACATGTGAGAAGTTATGCCATTCGAAAAACACATGAGAAAATGATGACACATTTGAAAAATGCACTGACTTTTTTTAATTGTTGTACTGAAAAAATAAATTAGGAAGGTATTACTGTTTTATGTAAGGTGACAACCTCATATCTTACATAAAGCTCTTTGATCTGGTACAAGAGTAATAGGTGAATTGTACATATTCAAGAGCTAAATTTTCTTACAAATGTTTCTAATTTTGAACAGGTTGCTGTGGGAAATGAATATGTAGCTAGTTTAGAGAAGCACAGTAGTGTGGCTGATACAGCAAAGGGCTTTGGTGGCAAGTTTGGAGTTCAGCAGGATCGACTAGATCAGGTATAAGCCTCTATAGAGGAAACACGGACCAGATTACTATCATCAAAAAATCATCTCTTTCAATTTCAAAAAAAGTTGTTCATTTAATGATTATTTTAGAAGTTAGGTAATGATATATCGTAAAAGTCCTTGAATTGGAGTGCGCAAGTTATGAATGCCTCTTACAAAGAATTTGAATTTATCATAAATATTTAAGTAGCCTTTGGAACCCCTCAGATAATATTTTCAGAAAATCTGTTTATATGTCACTCAAGTGCCTAAATTTGCAATTTCAGTCAGCAGTAGGCTATGAATATTCAGGGAAAACGGAGAAGCACGCATCACAAACAGGTAAACTGCCACTAATGACTGATCTGTAATACAACTCGAGGGTGGTGCCTAGTTGTGTAATACTGTGCTTTTCTATAGTCCTATGTAACACTCTCTGAGGGCGGCCCCTAGTTGTGTAACACTGTGTGTGTTTATAGTCATATGTAACACTCCCTGAGGGTGGTCCCTAGTTGGGTAACACTGTGTGTGTCTATAGTCACATGCACCACTCCCTGAGGGTGGTCCCTAGTTGTTTAACACTGTGTGTGTCTATAGTCATATGTACCACTCCCTGAGGGAGGTCCCTAGTTGTGTAACACTGTGTATGTCTGTAGTCATATGTAACACTCCCTGAGGGCGGTCCCTAGTTGTGTAACACTGTGTGTGTCTATAGTCATATGTAACACTCCCTGAGGGTGGTCCCTAATTGTGTAACACTGTGTATGTCTAAAGTCCAATGTAACACTCCTTGAGGACAGTCCCTAGTTGTGTAAAACTGTGTGTGTCTATAGTCATATGTAACACTCCCTGAGGGTGGTCCCTAATTGTGTAACACTGTGTATGTCTAAAGTCCAATGTAACACTCCTTGAGGACAGTCCCTAGTTGTGTAACACTGTGTGTGTCTATAGTCATATGTAACACTCCCTGAGGGCAGTCCCTAGTTGTGTAACACAGTGTGTGTCTATAGACATTTGTACTGGTAACACTGCCTGTGGATTTTGAGTGATATCTGTTCCAAAATTTTGAATATAAACTTATCTTTTCCATATTGCTCAAATGCAATGATAATTTTGCATTAAATATGAATATTTTGATTTCATTTAGGAGATAGTATGCTGGATTACATGCTTGTACTGTAGATAATATCATGAATATGGGCTTTTAACATGAATTAAAGTAGTTGATCCAATTGATTGATAATTTAAGATGTCATATTTATCACATTCTGAAATTATAAACACAAAAAAGCCTAGTTCCTTGGGAGAATTTAAATGAACTGGAACATGCCACTAAGGCTGTCATGATTGTTCTTTCTGCTAGATAATATTATATCAGATTATGCCACGTCATTATCGTAAATTTCGCCAATGTCAATGTTGATCATCTGCCTTAATAAGAAAGATATCATGGCTATATATAAAACATCAAAATTATCGCCATGACAACCTAATGATGATTCCTGAGTATACTGGGGATTAGATCATGAAAATTATGCAATTAAAAAATGTGTTACATGAACATTATTTTAGATTGTTAGGTATGGTAAACATTAGTTAAGTTCCGGAATGTGGATTACAGATTGCGACTTGAAATGATTACCGATTGATATTTGTTAAACTCTTCATGAATCTTACAATTATTGAGACAATCTTGACATGATTATCTTTTGAAAATGTGAATTGTCATAATATTTTTCTTTGACAAAACACATGCCGAGATCCTGTGGTCTGTATATATTTCATGTGGTATATCAATAACTTAATTAGCTTGTAATACAGAATTGGGGCCTCAAGTTATATCAGCTGGTTCGAGCAGGATGCTCCAGCAAGATGTGAAAGAAATCACACTACATCAGTTTTAATTAAGTGACATGTATGTGTATAATCTGATGCTTTCAATTGCTTATGATGGTCATTTAAATACTGCTACCCACAGCATAACATCAATATGAATAGTGACCACGTGGGGTGATTATCGCGACACGTATGCCTTTTAGTAGTTGAACATGCAGTCTCACAGTGTTTTTATGCTAAGAGCATTTTCAATGCTCTTCAGCATGTTGCTGTCGCCCCTGGCCCTGAGTATCAGTACTTCGTTTTCATTGGTTCATAAATCGAAAGTTTACTCCTACTCCATCTGCCGGACATTACCGTAATCATTGGATTATCGCCCCTACAAGTTGCTGATGCTAGTCATTAAATGAAACAACCTTATCGACGTTTTCTTCATTACTTGTACATCAAGAAAACGTTTTGTGTTGTGTATTAATGATAATCAGACATCGAAATTTGTAAATACAATGACAAAGACTCACATTTTATGGTGGTAAATTTTGCGAGGCGATGCCAATATGGCGGCTTAACTTTCTTTTCCGCGTGATGCATTGTGGGTGTCATATATCTTTCTTTTTTTTCTTTTTCGAAAATTTTCATCACGTTTAATACTGTTGAAAACTTTTGAAAATACTGAAATATGTAGTTGAAAATAAGAATGAAACTAAAATAAGAATGATTTAGAGTAGCATAAAATTTTGACGGAAACAGCCGGGGTGCTCTTTGCTGCTGGACCCTGAAAGAAGACGGCGGCAGAAAGAAGATGGCGGGTATTTGATGTAAGTAAGTATCACTGTATATATATAAGCTGAATTTAAAGTCAATACTTATACTGAACAAGCAATTGCATTTTTTGCAAAATACTCATTTGAAATGAGCTATTGCATGTATTGAATTTAGGCTCGACGGCAACGCGCAAGCTGGGCACTGCCGCCATGGCACTTTTTTCAAAATATTTTCAAGACTTTTCCTTTGAAGCAGTATGCATTTGAAAAATGTTATGTAAGCATCTAGCACATTTTTGTTGCTTCCGTAAAGTATTTCAGTGTTTTGAAATTAATTTATTTTTGAATGATCGTTTCATAATGGTCTCATCGCAGTCACTTCTGTCCGTGGCCCAACAGATCAGAAATTAAACAGAAAAAAACTTATCCGTAATATTGTACTGTACTACTTACGCTACCGTGAATAGATCTAGAAATCTATCTGTGTAATATATCAATTTTACTTTAGAATATCGGTCACTGTCCGTGCTATTGTAGATCTAGCTCTTTCATATTTCTGATCGGAGATAATTTATAAGTACCCCAAGTCCAGGGTATGAAATCATACGGGAACTCTACAGCTATGCCAATTGTAAGGTTTACATATGAAGTTTATATATATAGTTTTAGGTTAAATTTAGTTTTTGTCTTTCTGACATGATGTCTCGTTGATTCTGTTGAAGAGTGATGCATGTGAACGATTACAATATGAAGATTGAGAATAATGAAGATGTCAATTAACATCTGAATCCCGGAAAGTGTTTTAATGAAGATTAGGATAAACCTAGCAAAGTGTTAGGTCCCAGTGTGAGTGTGTAAAGTGTAAGGTCCCAGTGTGAATGTGTAAAGTGTAATTGGTACAATTCTTATTATGCCTGAACTTTTAATATATGTACTGTATTTGTTCATCTCAGAAATTTCAGTATTATGTCAACTGCGTCAACTTTCAGTTCAACACTTGATTCATCAATTTTACACAGCCCTAGGCTCAATATTTGTCATTAATTGTAGACTGTTTTTAAGCGTTTTAGAGTTTTGTTTCCATGGTGAATGGAATGAAATGGGATAAATAGTCTAACCAATACCCCTCGAGAGCTTATTAAGACATTGCAGTATTATCACTTTGGGCCTTATTTAAAGTCAAATTGAAACTTTAAGAAATTCAAGTGTCCAGAAGTACAACAATAAGATGTCGATAATCAATGAAATTGATTAATTGAGAGGACATTTTCTTAGTACAGTTAACCAGGCTTTGTAGTGGTTTGTTCAGAACTGTAGTTCTGGTTAAGTAACCATTAATTATGTCCTTTCAGCTACAATGACGTACATTTTTTAAATACCTCTACTGTAGCTAAATGTGGCATTTGTAATAGACATAGTCAAAGTTAATTTTGTGATAGACGTAGCCAAAGTTAATTTTAGGATCAGTTAGGACAGCTACTGTTTGTAACAGGCATGGGTTCAATTACATGATGATGTAATTAATTAAATTACAATTACATTATGAAAATGGCATTGCCATTACAGGTATTTTCAAAATAATTAAATAACCATTACATGACGGTCCAATGTAATTAATTAAATTACACATTACTTTTCATGTCAAAATGATTTTTGAAATACAAATGTCAAAATAAATTATCGTACTGCACAGATTTATCACACAGATTTAATTTTATGATTCAATCTCTGTATGACCATGGTCAAGATATTATCATTTTGCTAGCTGTCCATCGCTTAATAATTTGACTTTCCTGAACGTCAAAGTAATTAATTACAGTATATTTAATATAGGCTCCTATTGGGAAGACTAGACTATAAGCTTAAACAGAAGTGTATATTTCTTGCACATAATCATAGCAATAATGAAATATAGTTATTTATTTCCCTTACCCTCTTTCAGCAAGTGGATGTCCCTGAAGAAATGAAATCTGGAATGGTAGAAGGTATCTCTATTGATTCTTCTAAGTTGGAATTGGCCATGGTGACCAACAATGGATTTGAGGACCTTATGATGGAGAAAAACGCCCTTCTTTCTGGCCTCCAATTAGATGTTGAAGATGATTAATCACTTGAGGAGATGCTAACAACCATGTTGCCTTTTAATGTCACAGTACTCTCTAAAGGCGGCAATATATTTACCATCACAAAAGAAGAATCAACAAATCGCGGAAACTAAAAAAATGAGGAAAAGATCATTGTATATTGCATTTGTAGTAAATTTGTATACAATCTTCAATTTACTTGAGTAGAAAGATTCACTAGTTATACCAAGTTTGTGTAGAAAGGATCACTGTATACTGAGTTTGTAGTGTACATAGAAAGGTTTACTTATTTATTTTTCTTCTGAGTTTAGTGTATACAATAAATATAAAAAAAACTTTTTGTAGAAAAGGTCACCGCATACTGAGTTTGTAGTTTACAATTGTCTAGAAAAATCACTGTATACTGAACATAATACGACTTCTGTTTAAAACCTTCAATTAAACTTAGGCATGTATTTTTTTATGTATCTTAAAAGTCTACCTACAACAATTTTGTGTATGCAATCTTGTACTAGGATATTTACATGACAAGATTACATTGCTGATCAAAGCATGGAAAGAATACTGTATCTAAAAACTGAATAAAACAAGATATAAGCATCTGTACCATGTTTTTTTATTATTATTATTATTTTTCCATAATGTATGTCCACATGGAATTTGTAAGCACTCTTGTGCATTCTTATACCACCAAAAGGGTGGGTAAACTGGAATCAGGTTGTCTATCAGTCCATCCATCTGTTTGTCTGTCTATAGACACATCTTGTCTGGACAACTCCAATGAAACTTCAGTAATATTAAGGACAATGTGTGGATGTGCATGCACCATTTTCCCTCGAAATATTGATTGCCATGGCAACTGGTCAATATAGACGGGTTTTGCTCGTCGGTCAACTTCTAAACCTGTGGACCAATTTCAACAAAACTTTGCATGAATGTTGAGGAATGTGCACATGCCGCTGTGTTTCAGAGGATGTTTCTGTGCAAAAGGTCACCATGGGGAGATAGCTAAGGCTGTGGGTGTTGGGGGTATTAGTTATCATTTGGATTACAGTTTCAGTTATCCCTGGGCAATGTGGAGAGGATATAGTAATGATTTTGAGGATTGAATGTAGAGGTCACAGTACTTGCATAAGTACTATATGATTACCTTGTAAACGCATTGAGACTAAGACGGTTTACCTTAATCAAATTTGGAACCTATATTCCTTATGAGAAGTTGGTTTCTTTAGAAATTCAGGGTCAGATGTCAAAGATCAAGGTCACAGTCAAAAAACGTATAGATGCATGGGGGTGTTCTTTGCATTACCCTCATTTTTCTATCAAATTTCAAGGTTCAAGGTCACTGTAAGGATGTTAAAAAATGATAATACAAGAGGAATAAAATATCTTGCGACAAGTTTTAGAGAACAAAGAATATATAAACATATCAACAGAATTGTAGAACCAGCAAAACAAGTGTAAAATTGAAACAAAGACAATATCTACTCGAAGATTCCCTGAAAAAGTACAAGGAGAATAAGACCAGGTGTTCCGAAAGAATAGGCATCTTTTATTTTAAGTTATGGTGACATATCATGTTTGTTTTAGAAAATTGGCACTCTTATGCAGTCATTTACAGACAATCTGGAAAATGAAGCTGCCCAATATTTGTATGTAGCATGTTATTTGCATGATGGTCTAACTAATGGTCTTAAACCAATAAGATACACAGTTTTTAAAGTGATAATATGGTGTCCAAGATCAACATTTCCTACAATGTATCCAAAGAAATGGACAACTTCCCTATCATTGCATCTTGGAGCCTACTTGGGACATGTATTACATAAGTAATACTACTATGCTTGTTATTTCTGATATCTGCTGGTCATTTTTTATGGGCTGCAATGATTTACTGCTTGCATATAGTTGGTTTCAGTATATAGCAAGCTAATAACAAAGAATTTATTTTTTAATGGTCTTAGCATACCAGTACTTTCAGTACTTTGATTTACAATTTTAATCGGAAGTGAAACAAGACTGGGAAGTGTTTTAGCTCTCACTGGACAGAAGATCAATGTTTTCATTGAAAAAAATTCCTGTTTTCAAAATACCTGCCTATTTGAACTTTTAGGATGTTTTAGGATATTGATTGAGTTTGTGTGATATTATGATATTAAGTTATATTTTCATTTTATCAAATTTGAAAATACTTAACTTTTTTAGACCAACATTAACTCCATTTTTGTTTGAAAAATTACAGCATGCATGATTGTTAAAAATTGCATGATTTTTAAAAAGATCTTTTTGAAAAATCAAGTTGCATGAGATTTTTTCACAAGATTGGGAGGAATACAGCAATGAATTGTGAAAGTTTTCCCATGGATATCCTTCTTGAGCTTACTTTTTATAGTCAAAAGTCAAGCTCACTGATTAGAAGAAAGTTGTTTCCAGCACACGCTTAAGTTCTGTATGGCAAATTTTTTGACTCATAAGTGAGTTTGGAAGATTCTATACTCGAACATATAATTCCAATTGAATCTGACTTCAAACTTTCAGCGTTTTTATTTACACAAACCAAAAGAATTACTAATATGCATGTGATGGAATGTGTGCTGTATTTCCTGTATGTAGATTATTCCACTGGATTCGGTGGCAAGTATGGCGTACAGAAAGACCGCAAGGATCAAACAGCTGTTGGATATGAACACAAGGAAGTAGTGGGCAAACATGAGTCACAAACAGGTAAAACTTATTAAACATGAGTCACCAATAGTTAAAACCAATTAAACTTGAGTCACAAACAGGTAAATCTAATTGAACATGAGTCACAAATAGGTAAAACCAATTAAACATTAGTCACAAACAGGTAAAACTTATCAAACATGAGTCACAAATAGGTAAAACCAATTAAACATGAGCCACAAACAGGTAAAACCAATTGAACTTGGGTCACAAACAGGTAAATCTAATTAAATATGAGTCACAAACAGGTAAAACCAATTAAACTTGAGTCACAAACAGGTTAAAATAATTAAACATGATCACCAATAGTTAAAACCAATTAACCTTGAGTCACAGACAGGTAAAACTAATTAAACATGAGTCACCAATAGTTTAAACCAATTAAACATGAGTCACAAACAGGTAAAACCAATTAAACATGAGTCGTAAACAGGTAAAACTTATTAAACATGAGTCACCAATAGTTTAAACCAATTAAACATGAGTCACAAATAGGTAAAAGCAATTAAACATGAGTCGTAAACAGGTAAACTTATTAAACATGGGTCACAAACAGGTAAATCTAATTAAATATGAGTCACAAACAGGTAAAACCAATTAAACTTGAGTCACAAACAGGTTAAAATAATTAAACATGAGTCACCAATAGTTAAAACCAATTAAACTTGAGTCACAAACAGGTAAAACTAATTAAACATGAGTCACCAATAGTTTAAACGAATTAAACATGAGTCACAAACAGGTAAAACCAATTAAACATGAGCCACAAACAGGTAAAACCAATTAAACTTGGGTCACAAACAGGTAAAACCAATTAAACATGAGTCACCAATAGTTTAAACCAATTAAACATGAGTCACAAACAAGTAAAACCAATTAAACATGAGTCGTAAACAGGTAAAACTGATTAAATATGAGTCACCAATAGTTTAAACCAATTAAACATGAGTCACAAATAGGTAAAACCAATTAAACATCAGTCGCAAACAGGTAAAAGTTATTAAACATGAGTCACCAATGGTTTAAACCAATTAAACTTGAGTCACAAACGGGTAAATCTAATTAAACATGAGTCACAAATAGGTAAAACCAAATAAACATGATTCACAAACAGGTAAAACTTCTGAAACATGAGTCACAAATAGATAAAACCAATTAAACATGAATCACAAACTGGTAAAACTTATTAAACATGAGTCACAAACAGGTAAAACCAATTAAACATCAGTCGTAAACAGGTAAAACTTATTAAACATGAGTCACCAATAGTTTAAACCAATTAAACTTGAGTCACAAACAGGTAAAACTAATTAAACATGAGTCACCAATAGTTTAAACCAATTAAACTTGAGTCACAAACAAGTAAAACTAATTAAGCAAGAGTCACAAACAGGAAACACTAGCTGAGCATGAATCACAGATAGGTAAATCATCAATTAAATACAAGTCACAAAAAATTAGAAATAATTATGATATGACAAACAGCAAATCTAATTATACTCAAGTTTGTAGAACTAATAACATGATTCAAAGTAAAACCAGATATGACCAGTCTCAAACAGTAAAATTATATATAGACAAAAATGTACCACAAACAGTAAAACTATATATAGACATAAAAGTACCACAAACAGTAAAACTATATATATACATAGACAAAAATGTACCACAAACAATAAAACTATATGTATATATATAGACAAAGATGTACCATAAACAATAAAATTATATATATATATATAGCCAAAAATGACCACAAACAGTAAAACTATATGTATATATATAGACAAAGATGTACCATAAACAATAAAATGATATATATATATAGACAAAAATGACCACAAACAGTAAAACTATATATAGACAAAAATGTACCACAAACAATAAAACTATATATATAGACAAAAATGTACCACAAACAGTAAAACTATATGTATATAAATAGACAAAGATGTACCATAAACAATAAAATCATATATATATATATATTTATAAATAGACAAAAATGACCACAAACAGTAAAATTATATAAAGACAAAAATGTACCACAAACAGTAAAACTATATATATTTAGACAAAAATGACCACAAACAGTAAAACTATATATAGACAAAAATGTTCCACAAACAGTAAAACTATATATATATATATATAGGGAGAGAGAGAGAGAGAGAAAAATGTACCACAAACAGTAAAAATATATATATATAGAGAGAGAGAGAAAAATGTACCACAAACAGTAAAACTATATATATATAGAGAGAGAGAGAGAGAGAGACAAAAATGTACCACAAACAGTAAATATATATATATAGAGAGAGAGAGAGACAAAAATGTACCACAAACAGTAAAACTATATATACATAGACAAAAATGTACCACAAACAGTAAAACTATATATATATATACAAAAATGACAACTAACAGTAAAACTATATATAGACAAAATTGTACCACAAACAGTAAAACTATATATATATATAAAAATGTACCACAAACAGTAAAACTATATACATATAGAGAGAGAGAGAGAGAGAGAGAGAGAGAAAAAATGTACCACAAACAATAAAACTTAAAATATAGTAAAACATATATATATACATAGAGAGAGAGAGAAACAGTAAAACTATTTATATATATATAGACAAAAATGACAACTAACAGTAAAACTATATATAGACAAAATTGTACCACAAACAGTAAAACTATATATACATAGACAAAAATGTACCACAAACAGTAAAACTATATACATATAGAGAGAGAGAGAGAGAAAGAGAGAGAGACAAAAATGTACCACAAACAATAAAACTTAAAATATAGACAAAAATGGCCACAAACAGTATATATATACATAGACAAAAATGTACCACAAACAGTAAAACTATATATATATAAACAAGAATGCATCACAAACAGTAAAACTATATATACATAGACAAAAATGTACCAAACAGTAAAACTATATATATATAAACAAGAATGCATCACAAACAGTAAAACTATATATACATAGACAAAAATGTACCACAAACAGTAAAACTATATACATATAGAGAGAGAGAGAGAGAAGAGAGAGAGAGAGAGACAAAAATGTACCACAAACAATAAAACTTAAAATATAGACAAAAATGGCCACAAACAGTAAAACTATATATATATATATAGACAAAAATGTACCACAAACAGTAAAACTATATATATATATATAAAACTATATATAAATAGACAAAAATGTACCACAAACAGTAAGACTATATATAAATAGACAAAAATGTACCACAAACAGTAAAACTATATATAAATAGACAAAAATGTACCACAAACAGTAAAACTTAAAATATAGACAAAAATGACCACAAACAGTAAAACTTATTACCGGTAAGTATTAGTTATATATGAAATGTACCACAAACAGGCAAAACTATATATAGAGAGAGACAAAAAAGCACCACAAAGTGGTAAAAGTTTACAAAAATGAAGTCATAATGAGATTAACATATGTACATGTAAATATTAAAGCATAAATGTTGATGGTAAGTTTTGTTACTTGACTTAGATATATTATGTGTTTATCTATATACAGGTGTTCATTTGAAAATCTTTTATCAGATGCACTATTGTTTAAAGAATTGTTTTACTAATAATGTTGACTAAAGACAATGTTACTAATTATGTTGACTGCATGGTATTGATATTGCTGCCTGACAAATGTTAGAACCCTCAATGTTATTTGATATGTGCATGTCCTTAAATGATGGCACTATCATTCATACTCACCAATTGTCTTGTGATCATCTAATTACTTATGTACAATCCATACATTCTGCCATATTAGATTACTCGAAAGGATTTGGAGGGAAGTATGGTGTTCAGAAGGAAAACATGGATAAAACAGCTGTTGGATGGGACCATCAGGAGAAGTTAGGAAAACATGAGTCACAAACAGGTAACTAGTCATATTTTTATAATTGAGAAAAATTATTTGAAAACGTATAAGAGTGATATCAATTCATGTCAGAATCTGTCACAAGTTAGGCAAACAAGAGTCACAAACAGGTAATTACTGCAGGTAGTTGGGTTTTAATAATTGAGAAAAATTATTTTAAAATTCATGATGTGATGTAAATTCATGTCACAATCTGTCACAAGTTAGGTAAACACGAATCACAAACTGGTAATTACCAGAGGTAGTCATGTTTTAATAATTGAGAAAAATTATTTGAAAACTGGTAAGAGTGACACATACTGATGTCACAACCTGTCACTAGTTAGGCAAACACGAGTCACAAAACATCAAACAAGTTAAGCAAACAGGAGTGACAAACAGATAAAAGAAATGAAAATGTATGTCCTTTTAAAGTATTCAGGAAAATTACATGACAACTGGTAAGAGCAAGGCAAACTGATCTAAACAAGGCAAACTGATGGCACAAACTAATTTAAACAAGGCAAACCGATGGCACAAACTGATTTAAACAAGGCAAACTGATGGCACAAACTGATTTAAACAAGGCAAACACAAGGCATGATCTTATACAGTCATGATGAAAAATGATGGGTTGCTAAAATACATGTTCTTTCCTTTTAAGAAAATGAAAATCTATGGTAGATCTTGGTTATTATTATTCTCAATGAATTACATCAAATGCTTCTTGCAGATCATTCCAAAGGATTTGGCGGAAAATTTGGAGTACAGAAAAATAACATGGACAAATCGGCAGTAGGCTTCGAACATCAGGAGAAATTAGAGAAACATGAGTCTCAAAAAGGTGAAAGGATATTTCATCTCCATTTCAAAAGAGTTCTCCACAATATGCATAGAAAGAAAGATAGGTTTTATATCTAGTCACCAAGAATCTGTCCAGAATTCAGCCATCTCTTGAAAATGACACATGTATGTCCATATAAGTGAAGTTTTCACTTGTTTTGGTCCATAACATTGCAAGTGTTTTATAGCAGATTTGTAGATCACCGCAGTCATTTTTCTTTCGTATGTAAGTGGCAAAGCTGACAAGTTGTCAACATTTTTAGGTCACCTGAGCCATCATGATTTGTCTCGTTGTGTGTCGTTAACTTTTCACATATTCCACTTCTTCTCAAGAACCACCGAATGGATTTTGACCAAACTTGGCACAAAGCATCCCCATGGGAAGCCGCTTCAAGTTTGTGAAGAAAAAGGGCATGGCATTAATAGGGGCCCCAGGAGGGGGGAAATTCATATTTGACATTTAGGGTCCTTATGGCAAGTTCTACAAAGTTTGCGAATGAAAAAAAATCGGGTCAAAAACGGCCCCACCAGGGGGCGCTCAAAAGCGTCGAAAATTCAACTTTGACCGATTTCAACCAAATTTGGTAGACAGCATCCCTTAGTGATAGACATATGAAATTAAGTTGAAAAAAGTGATAATGTCCCCTTTGGGGCCCATAAGGGGTGTAAAAGGGGCCATATGTAAAAACCTTCTTTAAATGACTTCTTTTCAAGAACCAGTGGATGGATTTTGACCAAACTTGGCACAAAGCATCCCCATGGGAAGCTGCTTCAAGTTTTGGAAGAAAAAGGGTGTGGCCCCAATAGGGGCCGCAGGAGGGGGAAAAAGGGGGTAAAATTAGGTAAATCTTTAAAAATCTTATTATGAACTAAGTATCAGATTTTCCATAAATTCAAAATTAATGATTCTTAGAGCAAGGTCTACAAAGTTTGCGAATTAGAAAAAAAATGGGTCATAAACAGGCCCTCCAGGGGGCACTAAAAAGGGGTCAAAATTCAAAGTTGACAGATTTCACACTGAGCACAAAACATCTGTGTATTAAGACACATTTAGTTTGGGGAAAAAATCATGGCTACAATAGGGGCCCCAGGTGGGGGTAAAAAAGGAGTAAATTTAGTTAAAGTAAGCTTCTTGAAGTTTACAATAGAAAAAGGTGTGACCTCAATGGGGGCATATTTAAGGGGCAGAAAGGGGTAGAATTTGTTCAATCTTAGCAAATCTTGTTGTCCTGAACCAGAAGTGTAACTTCATATAGATGATCTTTAGGGAAAGGACTGCAAAGTTTGTGAGAATAAAAATAACTGGTCCAAAATTAGCCCTTCTGATATTTGTTACATATTAATCTTTAATAAAGACATGTTGTGTGTTTATGACAACCATATAGGCGAGAAAAAATGTATAGCCAGATCTTTCATCAAACCCGGATCTTATTACTCGCTGAGCCTTCTATGTTCTGAGCTACATGTATAATATGGTTCAATACCTGTGGTAACACTACATTTCTCAGCCTTGATACATATATATTCCTGTCTCAGAAGTACCACAAGATTTTTTCACATTGTTTTATATGAGTTTTTTTAGTTGGATGCCTTATTCTATTAGGCAAGGAAAAGATTGTGGATAGACTTGAAATTGATCTGATTTTTTGTATACTTTAGCAATACATGTATCTACTAAGCTATATTTCAACTTGTAAGTGAAAACATGATTTGCTTTATATAAATATGCAACCCTGGCCTCTGTTTGACTAAGACATTTTAGACTCCCTCTCAAGAACCACTGGGTGGATCATGTTCAGACTTGGTACAGATGTTTTACACACAGTCCTGCACAAGTGTTGTTACATTTTTGCAACATTTTAAAATCCCCAGATTATTGACATATATTCCTCAGGTGATCGTTAAGGCCCCTTGGGCCTCTTGTATAGATAAACGAGTTCAAGTACATTTCATACTTTTAAAATAAAAGTCAGTTTTTAATTAACAGAAAAAGGTCTTTCCTGGATAAGATCTAAATATAGTGGATTAAAAACAAGATATATTTATAAATCTTCTCTGTAAGAAATCACCCTGGCTTGAAACTGAATATGGAATAAGTGATGAAGAATTTCTCTATTAATACTAGATTATGCTAAGGGCTTTGGAGGAAAGTATGGAGTACAAAAGGAAAACATGGACAAGTCGGCCGTTGGATGGGACCACCAGGAAAATCTGGAGAAACACGAATCACAAAAAGGTTAGATACACAATCAGAAATAGTTAATGCGTGATTTGTATTATCATGGCCAGGAGACTTTACAAAAAATTAACAAAATTTCTGACTTCTTGTTAATTTCTAGTCCTAACCATTTATACAAACATTTAAAATGCCATGATTTGCGATAGATTGAAACTGTCTCATTTCCATGGTACCGAATCATTTAAGATAGATGGAGTCTCATAGGAATAATTGAATAGTTGGATACTGACTGAGGTTTCTAGTGAAAAGTATAACATCTACAGTGTCTGTAGTCCCCTTATGTAATGTATAAGGGTATCAAAAAAGACCACCTTAATATGTGTACTCAGGTTTTTCTCATTCACCTTATAGGTTTTAACAAGTTAGGATCTTAAGCATCATTGACGAATCATGAACAATCGAGCGTTTTGTTCCACTGCATCTTATTCTAAATTTATATTAAAAGGTGCTATTCACATGTGTCCTCTTTACAATTATTATACACAGAGTAAATAATATGGTAATTGAGATTAAATGTAAACATTGAAATTATCTAGACTGTGATCTTACTATGGATAAGTTTTGAAATACTTCCTGACCTATAGAGTTACAAGCATTAAAATGAACATGACTTATTAGTGATGAAGATTTTAGATATTCTTTATATCTGAAGAAAACCTGATGGTATTTCACTTCGAGAAATTACAAGCTTTGAAATGAAATAGACTGCTCTTGACAGAGAAACAGTTTTCCATGGACACAGACTGGACAGATGATGAAAATGGTAGGAAACCAAACTGTTCTCATCTCTATAATATTTTGAACTACATTTTTTACATTTTAAATAGCATGTTCTGTACTTCTTTCCAGAGCAATGAGTAAAACCTCATAAATTAATATATGACATGTTTACTGTCATCATCATCATCATCATTCTTTATTCCTCAAAGCTGAGAGTACAGAAAAAGAAAGTTTAAAGCGAAATGGATAAATTTACATGAAGAAAATGAGTGCTAAAAGCACATTGCAATCAAGGATCACTTTTGACCAATTTTCTGAGCTCAAAATACATTTATATTTCACAGTTCACCAGCATGGAAATAGATTTCCGCTGTTTTATGCAGTAGATAGGCACAGTCCTTTGTAAATTCCTCTGTTATAGAATTACTTTCAAATTCAAATCCCGAAATGTTCCCTCTAAATACTGTCTGGAGCAGGAGTTCTTCTGCAAAGCTGGACATGATCAAATATGGTTGTACACTGTAATAATCCACCACTTTTGTCATGAATGTGTCTCTCAAAATGAATGTACTTGTACATTCTGTGACAAAATGTCTTATTGTGTCGTGAAACGGATTGTTACACAACCTACATGTATTGTACTGTTCTACAGGAACATACGTTAGCATTTTACAAATATAAAGGACTGTCCTTTTGTCGATGTCCGGTGTTTTGAGCATGACATACGGCTTATTATGAGTAAAACCTCATAAATTAATATATGACATGTTTACTGTCTAAAGTTATGTATATGTTTCAATATTACAGAAGGTTACTTCAAATGTTTGATGTTTCATGCATATGTATTCACTATACATATACAGTATATATATATATATTTACACACACCATTTATGAAGACCTTTAGAAGAATACTTACACTGTAACATCTTTGTTACCCTTTCATGGGTATGTTACTATGTAACTGATATTTTCTTCTTTAAAGAGAATGAAGATAGAAAATAATATTAATGAAGATATTTGAGCAGATGAATTTGTAAACTAATTGTATAATTAACTTCTGAACAAATACACCCTGTGATTAAAAAAAAGTAATTAAAATTGTATAAATGAGAAAACTTCACTAAATATGGATGTGATCTTTGAGGAACAATATGGCTTTCAAAAAGAAAAAAAGGATATTAGATTGAATACATGAAGTTCAAACAAAGTATGTTTTTAGTATATATCTTTATTACATACCAGGATATATCAAAAGTAAAGGAAAGTTCAAACAAAGTATGTTTTTAGTATATATCATTATTACATACCAGGATATATCAAAAGTAAAGGAAAGTTCAAACAAAGTATGTTTTTAGTATATATCATTATTACATACCAGGATATATCAAAAGTAAAGGAAAGTTCAAACAAAGTATGTTTTTAGTATATATCATTATTACATACCAGGATATATCAAAAGTAAAGGAAAGTTCAAACAAAGTATGTTTTTAGTATATATCATTATTACATACCAGGATATATCAAAAGTAAAGGAAAGTTCAAACAAAGTATGTTTTTAGTATATATCATTATTACATACCAGGATATATCAAAAGTAAAGGAAAGTTCAAACAAAGTATGTTTTTAGTATATATCATTATTACATACCAGGATATATCAAAAGTAAAGGAAAGTTCAAACAAAGTATGTTTTTAGTATATATCATTATTACATACCAGGATATATCAAAAGTAAAGGAAAGTTCAAACAAAGTATGTTTTTAGTATATATCATTAACCCATATATCAATTGTAAAGTTTGAATTCTATTTCCTTAAATCTGTTTTTCTTATGAGAATGACATCTATGATTTTACTTTACTTTTCAATTAAACTAAAAAATACCCAGTAGCACTGTAAAGATATTGATGCAGTTGTTCCCCAAAAAATCTGTAAATGACCTATTTACTTATGTTTTAACCAAATTAATAATATATTCTTGTGATTGTTGATATAACTTTGTAACAAGCTCATTAAATTTTTTTCTTATTGTTTCCAAACTTTATTTTTGTTTGAATTTTCAAAATATTTCTGTTTGTATTGTTATAAAACTTGGAATCATCACACAGTCAAATCAGGGTATACAGGATATTTGAGTCCATGACAAAAAGGTTTGACTGAAATTTTTAAATGATTGCTTTTTTGTAGATTATTCCAAAGGTTTTGGTGGTAAATTTGGGGTACAGAAGGACAGACAGGATGCCTCTGCAGCCAGTTATGAACAAATGGGCAAGACTGATTTACATGAGTCTCAGACAGATATGAAGAAGGGATTTGGGGGAAAGTTTGGTGTAGATACAGAAAACCAGGATAAGGTACTGTAAGCATGCAGTAGCAATTTTTTCACTATGTTCATTTAAAAGATATTGCGAGACAAGGTTTTTAATTGATTTATTTCAGTCCGCTGGATCATGGAACATTCCTATATAGAGTTTTAATTGATTTATTTCAGTCCGCTGGACCATGGAACATTTCTATATAGAGTTTTAATTGATTTATTTCTGTCCGCTGGATCATGGAACATTTCTATATAGAGTTTTAATTGGTTTAATTCAGTCCGCTGGACCATGGAACATTTCTATATAGAGTTTTAATTGATTTATTTCAGTCAGCTGGATCATGGAACATTTCTATATAGAGTTTTAATTGATTTATTTCAGTCAGCTGGATCATGGAACATTTCTATATAGAGTTTTAATTGATTTATTTCAGTCAGCTGGATCATGGAACATTTCTATATAGAGTTTTAATTGATTTATTTCAGTCAGCTGGATCATGGAACATTTCTATATAGAGTTTTAATTGATTTATTTCAGTCAGCTGGATCATGGAACATTTCTATATAGAGTTTTAATTGATTTATTTCAGTCAGCTGGATCATGGAACATTTCTATATAGAGTTTTAATTGATTTATTTCAGTCAGCTGGATCATGGAACATTTCTATATAGAGTTTTAATTGATTTATTTCAGTCAGCTGGATCATGGAACATTTCTATATAGAGTTTTAATTGATTTATTTCAGTCAGCTGGATCATGGAACATTTCTATATAGAGTTTTAATTGGTTTATTTCAGTCCGCTGGATCATGGAACATTTCTATATAGAGTTTTAATTGATTTATTTCAGTCAGCTGGATCATGGAACATTTCTATATAGAGTTTTAATTGATTTATTTCAGTCAGCTGGATCATGGAACATTTCTATATAGAGTTTTAATTGATTTATTTCAGTCAGCTGGATCATGGAACATTTCTATATAGAGTTTTAATTGATTTATTTCAGTCAGCTGGATCATGGAACATTTCTATATAGAGTTTTAATTGATTTATTTCAGTCCGCTGGATCATGGAACATTTCTATATAGAGTTTTAATTGATTTATTTCAGTCAGCTGGATCATGGAACATTTCTATATAGAGTTTTAATTGATTTATTTCAGTCAGCTGGATCATGGAACATTTCTATATAGAGTTTTAATTGGTTTATTTCAGTCCGCTGGATCATGGAACATTTCTATATAGAGTTTTAATTGATTTATTTCAGTCAGCTGGATCATGGAACATTTCTATATAGAGTTTTAATTGATTTATTTCAGTCAGCTGGATCATGGAACATTTCTATATAGAGTTTTAATTGATTTATTTCAGTCTGCTGGATCATTTGAAGATATGGCTGGAGCATCAACATCCTACCAGAAAACAAGAGCAAGTGCAAGTAAGTGTGGTGTTGTTAATGTGTTGTCCTCCCTGATTGTAGGTTCTTACAAATGCACATTCCATTTTACTGTTTTTGTCTCATTACCGTTGTAGTCAATTACAAGGCAGACATTTTTTTTTCTCATCTATATAATAAACAATTTTTCAATAGCCAAAATTTTCTGAAATTTGTTTTTAAGAACTTCTCTTTTTTTATTGACGAAAGGATATATATATATCTAAAATTTGACAATTTGCTTGTCTGTACTGTTGCTATTACTTCATTGATCATATATATGTATGTGTACATATCAATCTTCCAAGAATTTGTCATTGAAGATCACATCCTGGCGTTAATTCTATATTTATCTGCCCTGTTTTTTTAATAAGCCCACCTGTAACTGTTGTTGTTTTATTGTCCTGTATCAAGCCTACTGCAAACAATGAGTCAGAATAGGTAAATTGCCTCTTTGGTCATATAGAAATATACAAATACTGTAAAATAAAACATTTTTCACCGATTTTTATTTTTGTTCAATTCTTGGTTGTTCTTTTCCAAGAGTTCATCTGACATGGATCATAGTACTTGTGTATTTTTAAGGAGCAAGATTCATTCAGGAAAACATCAATATCTTTGTAAAACCATGAAACTTGAGCCCAACAAAAATAAATGATTTTATGATTTTGATATGATATGCTTTTAGAGTATGGCAAGTGATTTACATACAATGCAGTACACTAAAAGTAGAAAGGATTAGGCACAACACACATGGATTCGCTGCATAGTGTATTGTTTAAATTACATCCTACGTGCTGACATGTTTTGACCCAAAGGAGGCCGTCTTCAGAGCACACCATTTACATTATGATGTTGTTTGCAACTAAGGTACAATAACAATAAAGGTCATGTGACTAGAACAATATAACTGACGTCATCAAGTTGCTACAGTATAGTTTGGTGGAAAAGTTTAGCCATATCTTGATAGTTGCATATTACAAAAAGTGTTGAAAATGATTACAGAATGATTATAACGTGTATAGTCTTGCTAATAAAACAATTATGGTGTTACAGTATGTACATTACAACAAATGAAGAGAAATAATGAAATGTAAGCATAAAATCAAATATATCAAAAGTACTCTCTAAAGTAATAGCTTAGTCTCTAGATAAAATATGATTCAAAAGTGAAAACTGTTTATATTGAATATATATCAGTAAAAAGTTTAAGCAGTTCGAGTGTTCAATTAGGAAAAACCCTGAAGAAAAAAGGTTCCTTGCATCAGAAAGTTTTGTAGGGTAATCCTTGGAATTGGTGACAAAAACATCAAGTGGTGTAGATGGTAGGTACAGTAGAGAAGAAAGATAGGTATATCCATACTACAAAGTGTTGAATGTTATCTCAAGGTTTATAAACATAAGTCTGAGGTTCAGTACACTGTTACATAACCTAGTCATCAGTTCTGTTTCTGACCACATTATATACTGCCTGTATGTCTCATCTCATCTGCAACATTGTCTATAACAAAACAACATTATTTATGTATGTTTATTACTCATACAATACAGGTTCTGATGGAGCAAAGAATTTGAGAAATAGATTTGAAAATTTAGCAAAATCAAATGAAGAAGAAGCCAGAAAAAGAGCAGAAGAAGAAAAAGAAAGACGGAAAAGAATTGAGGAGAAAGAAAGAGCAGAACAAAAACAACAGGAAGAGGTGAGATGATTCCTATGTAAAATTAAAAATCAATGTTATAGAAATTTAATCCTGATTTTCTGTTGTTTTCATTTGACCTTTGTGAATGTTAAAACAAAATTTTAAAACATTTAAATTCCTAGAGTAAAAAGTATAAGGATACAGTATGCTATAATACCACAACCATGACAAAGAGAATAGCCCTTGTTTTGGATATTGGTGAAAAAAAGTTCACCCTTGACAACTTTTAAAACATAAAGCTGGTGTTCAATATATCTTACAAATCTCTCTACAGATTAAATCCAAAATAAAGAGATTAGGATGTGGAGGATATATCTAATTAAGGTCCTGCTCACTTTGTTTTTTATATTAAAATATACTACAGGAACGTCGTAATAAGGAGCGTTGGGAGGCAGAACAACAGGAAGCTGAACCAGAACCTGAACCAGAACGAGAACAACCTGTACCTCAAGAAAGTGTTGTAAGTTATGAACCGGATGATGAATATGGGGATGTGGCATATAACCCTCAGACTGAACCTGATCCTGAACCAAATGTAGCAGAACAACCTTCTCAACCTATTGAGGAGGACCATTATGAACAGTTTGAAGATCGGCAACCCACAACAACAGGACAAGGTCCATCAGCAGTGGCATTGTATGACTACCAAGCCACAGACGATGATGAATTAACATTTGACCCAGAGGATATCATTACAAATATTGAAATGGTGAGTGAAAAAAAGATTGTTTTAAGAGTTGCTTTCTTATCAAGATATTTTTGTTTTGCATTGACCAACCTATTCTTGGAGAACTTGGGGCGGTAGGTTGGGAAAATATGTTATTTGATAGGAGGGAAAACAAATTTGTGAAATTGATGTTCTGTTTGGTCCCGCCCACAAATCAAAGTGATTTGTTTGTTCTAGTGGTGGTGAGAATAAGTGGCAAGTGTTTATATTACATTAGAATAGAAAAAAAACACTAATTTGCAAGATCTCAAGTGAAGACCTGAAAATTCTAAAAATGACATAAAAATGTCAATGCCACACATACAATATTTTGATTGGAGCCAAAATTTGACAATTCTTTCACCTTTACTGTAAACGTACACATTGTTATGGTTATCTTATTCAAGCATTTATTACGATGAAAATATTGTGCTAAAATATGATTGCGGTTATTGCAATTTTTTACTTGTTACTTAATAAAGCAAAAAGGAAACTCAACACTCCAAGGATGTTTTATGGAATATGTCTACATATTTTGACCGCTAGGGGACTGTCACCAGGACACAATTTATTACGGCTGATGCCTTAAGTCAGAAATGTAGAACAAGTGTTACAAACACATAGTGACATCATAATAGTTATGAAGAATATTATAGTTGGATAGTTCTAGAAAATTCTGTATACTCTGTGTACACTGACTGTTCTGTTTTGGAGGGTAGTTGATCGTTTATCATGTACTTCCCTGGTGGTAATGCTGAATCTCTCATTTAGTAGTACTATGTAGTCCTCAGTTGTATTGTAGGCCCTGGGTTATATACTGTAGTATCATTTTGCGTTGCTGATTCATTGTGACTGGTAGCAAAATGATTGGAAGCCATCCTGTATCTTTTCTTATGGTTGTGGTCTGTGGTCAATTGCTTCAGAGTTTCAGTAATTTCTGTTGTTGTAAATATCTTGTTGGCCATACTATGGTGCAGTATTTGGGATAGAATGGATCCAGATGGATGCAAGGGATTTGGTATTGTGAAGCAATCAAAGTGGATGCACTAATTCATCATTGCACTAATGTGCCATGAAAGTGACAAAATGCTTATTTTATTGCATAAAGTTAAGTCTGTTTACAGTATTTGTAGCCTAAATCATGACATTGCAGATGGCTTAATGGTCGGCAACATCATCATGGTGTATGTGTCAGCTGTCATTAGGGGCTGTTTTTGTTTATCACTTTAACCTGATGGACCAAGATTGTATGCTAATGAAATAAGGGCAGACCTAGTGATCTTTTTTTAGTGATCTTATGCCATAGCGTGGCGTCCATCATCCGTCTGTCCGTCAGTCTTCCGTCTGTCAACTTTTCATTTAAACAATTTCTTCTGAAATACCGAAAGACTTAGAGTTATCATATTTGGCTGGAAGGTTCCTTTGATGAAGCCAAACAAATTTTGCAAAAAGAAATGACCTTGACCCATATTCAAGGTCACTGAGGTAAAATTTGTGAAAACCTTTGCAACGACTTCTTCCAAAATACTGGAAGCCCTAGAATCATTATATTTGGCTGGATAGTTCCTTTGATGAAGCTACTATTTTTCTCTTATGTTGGCCTTCAAACTTTGCTAAAAGAAATGACCTTAACCCATATTCAAGGTCACTGAGGTCAAATGTATTAAAACGTTTTAAACAATTTCTTCTGAAATATCGAAAAGCCTAGAATCATTATATTTGGCCAGTATGTTCCTTTCATGAAGTCCAAGAAAGTAAAAGAAATGACCTTGACCCATAGTCAAGGTCACAGGGGTCAAATGTGTTAAACGTGGAACATATGCACAGATATAGTAATGTTGGTCATAAAGATCCAGGTGAGCGATTCAGGCCCTCTGGGCCTCTTGTTCTTTCTGACGAGCATCAACCAAGCCTTTCGGGTCCTGTATTGATATTGGCAGATAGATCCTGAATTATGTCTGAAACTTTACTTTACATTTATCAAAAGTGCCAGTGATGCTAATTTGTCTGCATAAACAGGTTTCTAATGTACAGTAATTTTGGGTATTAACTTCAGATTATCCACTTTATTGATTGATTGTTAAATTTCTGCACAGTATTTCTAGGTAGTATTTGAAAGTATATACTTACCCAAGTATATAAAATTTTCCCCATCGTCTTGATTACCTCACCTCATTAGTTAAATTCTTAACTCAGTACTGTTCACTATCTGAGTTACCTCCCCTCATTAGTTGATATTTCTAACTCAGTACTGTTCACTATCTGAGTTACCTCCACTCATTAGTTAATATTCCTACCTAAGTACTGTTCACTATTTGAGTTACCTCCCCTCATTAGTTGATATTTCTAACTCAGTACTGTTCACTATCTGAGTTACCTCCCCTCATTAGTTAATGTTCCTAACTCAGTACTGTTTACTATCTGAGTTACCTCCCCTCATTAGTTAATGTTCCTAACTCAGTACTGTTTACTATCTGAGTTACCTCCCCTCATTAGTTAATGTTCCTAACTCAGTACTGTTCACTATCTGAGTTACCTCCCCTCATTAGTTGATATTTCTAACTCAGTACTGTTCACTATTTGAGTTACCTCCCCTCATTAGTTAATGTTCCTAACTCTGTACTGTTCAATATCTGAGTTACCTCCCCTCATTAGTTGATATTTCTAACTCGGTACTGTTCATTATCTGAGTTACCTCCCCTCATTAGTTGATATTTCTTACTCAGTACTGTTCAATATCTGAGTTACCTCCCCTCATTAGTTAATGTTCCTAACTCAGTACTGTTCACTATCTGAGTTACCTCCACTCATTAGTTAATATTCCTACCCAAGTACTGTTCACTATTTGAGTTACCTCCCCTCATTAGTTAATGTTCCTAATGCAGTACTGTTCATTATCTGAGTTACCTCCCCTCATTAGTTGATATTTCTAACTCAGTACTGTTCACTATCTGAGTTACCTCCCCTCATTAGTTAATGTTCCTAACTCAGTACTGTTCACTATCTGAGTTACCTCCCCTCATTAGTTGATATTTCTAACTCAGTACTGTTCACTATCTGAGTTACCTCCCCTCATTAGTTAATATTCCTACCTAAATACTGTTCACTATTTGAGTTACCTCCCCTCATTAGTTGATATTTCTAACTCAGTACTGTTCACTATCTGAGTTACCTCCCCTCATTAGTTGATATTCCTAACTCAGTACTGTTCACTATCTGATTTACCTCCCCTCATTAGTTAATATTCCTAACTCAGTACTGTTCACTATCCGAGTTACCTTCCCTGATTAATTAGTATTTCTAACTCAGTACTGTTCACTATTTGAGTTACCTCCCCTCATTAGTTGATATTTCTAACTCAGTACTGTTCACTATCTGAGTTACCTCCCCTCATTAGTTGATATTCCTAACTCAGTACTGTTCACTATCTGATTTACCTCCCCTCATTAGTTAATATTCCTAACTCAGTACTGTTCACTATCTGAGTTACCTTCCCTGATTAATTAGTATTTCTAACTCAGTACTGTTCACTATCTGAGTTACCTCCCCTCATTAGTTGATATTCCTAACTCAGTACTGTTCACTATCCGAGTTACCTCCCCTGATTAATTAGTATTTCTAACTCAGTACTGATTTGTCAGATTTCCTTCAGCTTTTCAGTAACTGAGTTAACTGCCCTCATTATTAAAGCTGAAAGAACTGAGTTTATTTTATATGTTGATTAATATAATTAATATACATACTGAACTCAGTTCTTTCAGCTTATAAAAGGACCTTATCATTTAGGGTTTAAAATTTCCATACCTTGAACTGCATAGAAACTATACATTTCTTATGGTTTCCTTCCAAATACATACACAGATATGTTGTTCTTTCCTGGAAGTACTTTTCTATTACACTATTGTATGTTTACTCTTCAGATTGATGATGGCTGGTGGAAAGGAGAGTGTCGTGGAATAACAGGATTGTTCCCTTCAAATTATGTGGAGTTACAGAAATAGACTTACTGTGCCTTTTGTAACCATAAGAACAATTTATCAGATATGTTTATACATATAAACACAGTAAATGTTCTATCCATCTTGTCAAAATGTTTTTTAATAATATGTTTACAACTGCTTGTGCTTGACAAAATCAATGAAGATGTGCTACACACAGTTTTACATAACTGTATTCCATCATTGTGGACCATCAAATTAAAAAAAAAGTAAAAAAATCAGTTATTCAATGGCATACTCCCTAAAAGTATGTAAATAAGAAGGATTTTACAAATATGTACAATTAAAAATTGAATATTAATCCTGATTCAAAGTCTACATGTCATGTTTTTCTGAAATCTGATACACTGTTTACAGGTGATTTCATAAAATTCTTTCACACCTTTTTATTTTTTGCCAGGCACTCTGATTAACGAGTAAGAATGAATCCATGTCACCTGTGTGTGTATTGCTTTCTTTCTCTTCACAGTCATTGGTATATCATTAAATTCATATTGTAATGTAAAATAATTGCTTCATTTCTGATATGAACATTGCCATACTGTTGAAAAATCTGCCATTGGTTAAATTTGATGAAATTCCTTGTTTATATCATTTATTTTATTAACAATAAATATCAATGAAATCAGATAACATCATTCTTGTATATTTTCTCAAAAATACTTTGTCAAGCGCTATTGTTACTTAATCCTTCAGTATTTCTTTATTTCCTGTATGAACAGAAGCTTTTTCATTCACCCCTTTCATTAGTTTGATTGGTTGAAATCCTTAACACCTGTCCTCATGATATGACCTTTGTTGTTACGAGGACATCAAATGCTTACCAGTAAAACAAACAAATCCTTATCTACAGAGTGTTAAGCATGTAATTTAAATATTGGTCCCCATGTGTTTCCTTGTAACAAACATTAATTTACATAATGCTTGAATTTCGACATATGGTTAACTTTTAAACTAATATATATACCTGAACTTTTGTGGTGTTAAGATATACATTTGTCCTAATGGAATCTTGCTAGGTAAAATTGTCTTCTGATTTTAAAATTGGGATGCATATAAGTCACATTCTTGTGTGTGTGTGTTTTTTTTTTTATTTTTTTTTTAATCCTGATATAATATTAAAAAGTCATGTTATGACAAAACATGCTAAACACAGGAAAGTAAAGTGTCCATCAGTCGATCCTTGTGATAGATAGTGTATATTAAATATCAAATTGTCTTTTACCTGTTATTTCTGTAAAAAATACTCAACATATCTAAAATATGATTACAAACCACATTAAAATATGTTAAGATCATCATTCCAGAGCTATTAGATTTTTTACACATGTTAAATAATTAATGAAATTACTGATAGCTCCAACCAATCAGAAGAGTGCATTCTATTCACTGCATTGAAAAAAAATCAGATTATTACTATTGGGATTGAGATGAAGAGTACGTAGAAGTTGTTTTGATACAGTTTAGCAGTATAGGCTAGAATTTTATTTAGAGACACAATTTACAACAGTTTAAGTAGCAAGTCTTTTCAGACAACTGTAAAAATGGCAGAGATGCATTGAAGAGTCCTATCAAAATAACAGTCTTATTGTCAGGCATAGCATCATTAGAATACAGTGTCAAAGAATCAACAGCACATTTCCACTCGTGATACAGTAATGTACTTTAAAGTTTATCTGAAAATTATGAATGCAGGTAAATTCTACCATAGAAGTGAAGAATTTATGTTAATGATTAAGTGGAAATCTTTAATTTCTCTCTAGGTGAATATGTGATAGTTTTGTGTGTATACATACATGGAGATATGTTTGCAATGAATGCCATTGACCAATATGCTATTTCAAGATTATGCAATGTGACATCATGTTCAAAGTCACCTTGAAAAATTAGAAATAGAACAAAAGTATTGAAACTTACTTGGACTAGTACACCAACCCTTTTCTTTTGTTATGAGCAAGCGTATGCATTCTTTAAAAAATGTGAATTAAAGCTGTGTTTGAACTGTAAACAGTTTTTGGTGTATCTTGACCAATTTACATACAAAAACACTATGTTTTCTCCAGCGTTCTTCTTATTTTTTTCCATTTTTCTTTTTTTAAATCATTCTTCATATAACTAAAACTTTTCCTTGACAAACTCTGCTTTTTCTATATTTTTATTACATGAATGAAGATGGGAGAAAAAAATTAGCTCACTTAATATAAAGAATAAGATTTGCAGGTAATACAACTTAATCCTCATCAAGAACACTTTAATATGAAAATACCTGAAGGCTTCATGTTACATAGTCTGTTTATCCTATCTTTTTAAATATTTGTCGGATCTATCTTGCAGATGTTTTCAAAATAGAAGTAGGAATGATAACACCACATAATACCATAAGCTATAAAACAGTAGGTTATATACATATTGAAGAACATTGGAATTTACTTGAAATCTTCCCAATGAATATAACATTCCAGATATCTTTTATAGATGTGTATTATGTATGTATTTATATCAGTTTTAGTACCTATTTACTGGTATTACAGAAAATATATCTAAAATTTTAAAAATAACGAACAACCTTGTATAGTGAAAGAGCAAGCTCTATGAAGTCTGTATATTTTTTTTTTATATCAGTGAACACGTGCTGGTTTTAGATTGGGTAATGCTGCTTTGGCAACATTGTGTGTTTAGATATATATTACTGCAACAAACACAACCTCCAGTGAGAGACAACCTTCTTTGACTACTGTTTTGAGAGTAATCTCCCCTTAATTACAACATTTTGAATTCTTCAATATTTGTAAATGGTGTACAAGTATTGTGCTTATGACAAAATAGAGCTAAGAAAGATACCTTAAGTGAGATGAGGACAAGGTTAACTTATTCAATATAAATATATAACCAGATTGGATGTAAAAGAATTGAAGTCACATTATAAAAAAAATATATTGTAACTGCTGTTTCTGAAAATATTGATATAGACTCTAACTAACATCAGAATGATTATGAGCCAATGAGCGAGATATAGGAAAATTTGTGTTATTTATATATAATGCATATGTATGTACAAGTGATATAAATGTACAAGTATATAGTTTTATACATTTTGTGGTATAAACATTTAACTTTTTCTGAATTGTAACCGTTATCATTTTTCATTCAATGAAAAGTAATTAAACATGATGATCAGGTGATTTGTGATATGCCCCAGAGAGTTGTGTGAACTGATTCTGATGAGCGTATGTGTTAATTGAAACATCAGCATGAAAGTTTTTTTTTATCTTTATATATATATATATATATGTAGGTATTGACTACCTACATGGAACTATGTATAAAATGTGTCAACCCAACAATTATCTTATCATTATGATTAATATTGGACAGTGTAAGACAACTACGATATTTGTATTATGCAAACTTCAGAAAAATGAAATATCATTAAAATATCAAATTGATAACATACTTATGGTATGTGGTTGTGGTTGTTGTCAATGTAAATCTATTGTCCATTTTTGTTGTGGCATAACATGTGACCTCCTGACCTTTACTCACTTGATCAGTGACTTCTTGCATTTGACCTCACATGACCTGATCTTAACTATACTTGTTTTATAACATTCTGACCTTGTCTGGTCTTGATTCATATGACCTTGAACTAATTTCATCTATGACTTACCCCATCCTCTTAGTGTTGATCTTGCATGATCTGCAACTTCCTAGCATTGACTTTGATTGATCTTGATCTCACTTGATATGTGACCTGTTTGCCTTGACCTTCCCTTTCTGACTTCACTTGATCTGTGAATTCTTGTCTAGACCTCACTTACTTAAATATCACCCAACCCTACTTAAATTATGGGGATGGCATAACCAATTTGTGCGTCCATCTCTTTACAATATATTTCATGCACCCAAGGACATTGGACCATAGCATCACCTCAACATGGTCTACACCTGATTATATTTTGGTTGTCATCTGTCAAAGTTTTGAAATAAATCACTTGTGTATGGTATCTCATAAACCACTTTATTAGCCCACCATCATCAGATGGTGGGTTATTCAAATCGCCCTGCGTCCGTGGTCCGTCGTCCGGCCGTAAACAATTCTTGTTACCACTATTTCTGGAAAAGTACTGGATGGATCTTTCTCAAATTTCATATGCAGGTTCCCCTTGGTCGCTAGTTGTGCATTGTACCTTTTTTAGACTGATTCGAATTCAAGATGGCCGACAGGCGGCCATCTTGGAGTTTGAAAGTAAAAGTTTGTTACCGCTATTTCTGGGAAAGTACTGGATGGATCTTTGTCAAATTTCATATGCAGGTTCCCTTTGGTCCCTAGTTGTGCATTATACCTTTTTTGACTGATCCGAATTCAAGATGGCTGCTTGTTGGCCATCTTTTATTTCGAAAGTAAAAGTTTGTTACCGCTATTTCTGAGAGAGTACTGGATGGATCTTTGTCAAATTTCATATGGAGCTTCCCCTTGGTCCCTAGTTGTACCTTTTTTTTGACTGATTTGAAATCAAGGTGGCCCACAGGCAGCCATCTAGAATGTTGACAGTAATACAGTAGTTTGTTATAGCTGTGACAGGATCCTTCTCAGATTTCATATTTACCTTCCTCTTGGTACCTAGTTAAGCATTGTCCCATATTTAAAATGATCTGAAAAACAAAATGGCCATAGCTCTCCATCTTGGATTTGAACAGCGAGTAATTGTTTTATGGCTATTTCTTACCTACATGATCAGTCATTCTCAAGTTTCAGATTTTCCAAATTAAGTAAACATTGATAAATACACTGTTTAGGGTATGTATACTAAACCATGCAATGAATTGAGTTAATGGCATATGGGTTGACACATGAGAAGTAACAGAGGAATTGATTTATTAAAAATGTCAACAATTCCTAATATTTAAGTGTTGGTATTACAAAAAAAAAGTAATAAAATAAACTTTAAAATTGAAAATTTAAAAACAAAAAAAAAATAGTTTTAAAAACTTTGAACTTTTATTATACTTGTTGCGCTCTTGTATTATAGAGTCATCCATTTAAATATGTGGGTAGGGGGTATATTTATTTGAGCTCCTGAATTTGCATGGTCTACCTCATCCTGGCCGTGTACTCACTTGATGTGTTACATGGCCTTGACCTCACCTGATATATGACCTTATAGCATTCCCCTCATTTGATCTATGACCTGGTCTTCACATTCCTGATCTTTGACCTACTGGCCTCCACTTCACATGATCTGTGACCTGATGAAGCTGTTATTTGGGGAAACCTGCTCTGATAATAAACAGAAGAGATTTAGCAATATTTAATCAACATTTGACATTTAACTTTGTTTTGAAGTGTTAAGTATCGGAAACTGTCGGTTGTTAACTGCCATATCAAATGGTATTGTACACAACGAGAACATATTTTTTACAAACAAAGAAACAATGCCTATTGTGAAAGAAATGTTTTCTTTGAGGATGATTTTACGATGAGGATTTCTTTTGTTTATTTCACCTAGTGTAGTCAATACCATGATCGGCCCATACGATGGATTAGCCAAATGGATTTTTTTGGTTTTTTTTTTTTTTTGTGAGGGGGGTATCTTTTATAAGAACTGTGTATGACCAAGAAAATAACGATATGTCACGAGCATATCTTAAATCTGACAGGAACATCTCCGAGTAAGAATTAGCAAAATGACAGCTTCATTGCGTGATCGTTTGTGAAGCTAATATAGTATTATTCTATAAGATATTATTTCTCAGCAATGGCATAACTGGATCAGTCAAAATCACTACAAACACTGTCTTGCTTGGTCCTGTAGTGTTGTCTTCCTTGGTCCTGTAGTGTTTTCATGCTTGATCCTGCAGTGTTGTCTTGCTTGATCCCGTAGTGTTGTCTTTCTTGATCCCGTAGTGTTGTCTTACTTGATCCCGTAGTGTTGTCTTGCTTGGTCCCGTAGTGTTGTCTTGCTTGATCCCATAGTGTTGTCTTGATTGATCCCGTAGTGTTGTCTTGCTTAATCCCCGTGGTGTTGTCTTGCTTGGTCCCGTAGTGTTGTCTTGCTTGATCCCCGTGGGGTTGTATTTTTGATCCCATAGTGTTGTCTTGCTTGGTCCCGTGGTGTTGTCTTGCTTGGTCCCGTAGTGTTGTATTGCTTGATCCCGTAGTTTTGTCTTACTTGACCCCCGTAGTGTTGTATTGCTTGAATCCGTTGTGTTCTCTTGCTTGATCCTGTAGTGTTGTCTTGATTGATCTCGTAGTGTTGTCTTGCTTGATTCCATATTGTTGTCTTTTTTTATCCTGTTGTGTTGTCTCGCTTGGTCCCGTAGTGTTGTATTGCTTGATCCCGTAGTGTTGTCTTACTTGATCCCGTATTGTTGTCTTGCTTGGTCCCGTAGTGTTGTCTTGCTTGATCCCCGTAGTGTTGTATTGCTTGGTCCCGTAGTGTTGTCTTGCTTGGTACCATATTGTTGTCTTGCTTGGTCCCGTAGTGTTTTCTTGATTGATCCCATATTGTTGTCTTGCTTGGCCCTATAGTGTTGTCTTGCTTGATCCCGTAGTGTTGTATTGCTTGATCCCGTAAAGGTGTCTTGCTTGATCCCGTAGTGTTGTAATGCTTGGTCCCGTAGTGTTGTCTTGCTTGGTCCTGTAGTGTTGTCTTGCTTGGTCCCGTATTGTTGTCTTGCTTGGTCCCGTAGTGTTTTCTTGCTTGATACCCGTAGTGTTGTATTGCTTGGTCCGGTAGTGTTGTCTTGCTTGGTCCCATATTGTTGTCTTGCTTGGTCCCGTAGTGTTGTCTTACTTGGTCCCGTAGTGTTGTCTTGCTTGATCCCGTAGTGTTGTCTTCATTGATCCTGTAGTGTTGTCTTGCTTGGTCCCGTAGTGTTGTCTTGCTTGATCCCGTTGTGTTGTCTTGCTTGATCACGTAGTAAGTATTGTCTTGCTTGAATCCGTTGTGTTGTCTTGCTTGGTCCCGTAGTATTGTCTTACTTGATCCCGTAGTGTTGTCTTGCTTGATCCCGTTGTGTTGTCTTGCTTGGTCCCATAGTGTTGTCTTACTTGATCCCGTAGTGTTGTCTTGCTTGATCCCGTAGTGTTGTCTTTCTTGATCCCGTAGTGTTGTCTTACTTGATCCCATAGTGTTGTTTAGCTTGATCCCGTAATGTTGTCTTGCTTGGTCCCGTGGTGTTGTCTTGCTTGATCCCATAGTATTGTATTGCTTTGTCCCGTAGAGTTGTCTTGCTTGATCCTGTAGTTTTGTCTTACTTGATTCCGTAGTGTTGTCTTGCTTGACCCCCGTAGTGTTGTATTGCTTGATCCCGTAGTGTTGTCTTGCTTGAATCAACAGTGTTGTCTCGCTTGAGCCAGTAGCGTTGTCTGTTTTCCAAGTACTGTGGTGCTGTTACACCATGAAATTACATTTTCGTTTGCACTGCTTTCCCGCGGGCATGTAAAGAGCAGGTATTCGCTTTTTAGAAATCATGTCAACGATTTTTGGAGAAACAATCCGGGGATGGTATGTAGTTAAGCTATAAATGACCTAGATTTCGATTATGTTTAAATAATTTCGAACTCATCTCGATTGTCAAACGAAACTCGTTCCAGTGTTTTTTCACAGGAACTAAAAAAAAAATGAAAAACACATTCTTGTCCTAGTCAATGAAATGTTAGACTTTTACCATCAAGACTTTATGATTAGCTTCATTCCTGTCGATCAATTTTTTCGAAATATACCCATTATATATATGAACTTTATTTCACAATAAGCTTTAAGCTGACATTAATCTTTCTTCTTGGTGCCCCATATGAAAGCGCGCGAAGTATATTACTTTGAGAGGAAACTGGGGCGGGGAAAACTCATGTGACCCACATGGCTTTTCACATCCTCTCGGGAAGTGATCACACCCCCATTCCCTTAATCCCTTCACGTTAAGGTGAAAGAAGGGTGCATAACCGCTGCGCCATCCGACCATATATCTTTTAAAAATACACGATACAAAGCCAGCAAAGTTAATTTTAATGTAAATGACAAGGAAAATGTAATACCATTTTTTTCCTATTTCAATGCAAACATATGTGAATTTAAGTGATATGAAGACCAGACTACTTTGATAACCAAGACAGTTTTTGTCTCTATAGTCACTGATACCAGTTATGCAGGACTGCTCCAAATTATATTGGTGGAAATGCACTGAAGTAAATACAGTCTATTTGATGATAGGATGAATTAACTGGTGGATAGAAAAACGAAATTGTGTGGGCCGATTTCAGATCGAATTTTTTATGAATAACTCAAATTACGTACTTTTTAAAACTGATGAGTATTCGGCCTGTTACACAGCCCCCCGTTATTGCAAAGTAGTACATGTATACTGTCTACTGATAGTTTTATAAAAGCGAAAATAGATTGAATTTACATCTGAGAATTTTAACACACAGCATCTTTTTTTTTTAGATTTTG